CCAGCCTTAGACGCAACACTGGCTTTCGGAATTTCCAGCTGCATCCCAGCAGCGACGATCAAGGAGGCGCGCAGCCGAGTTACCGCGACGGCGGCGTTCGTAAAAAATTCAAGGCGGTCAGCCCGGTAATTTGAAGGCGGTTAATAGCGGGCGTATGAGATAGACTGAAGAGACGCGAGGAGCGACAGAATGGAGCTCGGATAGAGAGCGCGACAGAAAGAGAAACGGGGGAGAGATTCACAAGCTGGGTAAAATCGCGCGCGCGGGCTCGGCGTGATATTTAATTCACGAATTCCCCTCGGTGCCGCCAGGGTAGCTCGTGTCTTCCCTCCCGGTTGGAAAGGGCGGGGGGGGGGAGGGAAGGAAGGGGAGAAGGAAAGGGGTTGAAAGAGAAAGACGAAGGGAATGACGAAGACAGATGCACACCTGCGCGTCGCACACCGAAGAGAGAAGACAAGAGAGATGGAAGGAGGAGGAGGAGGAGAGGAGAGGGAGAGAGGGAGGGAGGGAGGGCCTCATTTCCATTAGCGGCATGCATCATACAGAAACTAGCCGGACTATATACACCGGTGTTCTGCTGCACGTCGAAACAAATTGAGATGCAGACTGCTGCTGAATGACGCCGACGGACGCCGTCTCTGCGCGCGTCGAGACGCCGCACCGTCGTCGCCGTTTATCCTCCCTCTCTTTCTCTTCCCAAGACGATTTTCTCCTCGATTTTACCGATTTTGTCCTTAAGTATGACGTCAAGAAAGACGTCAGTATAATATGCGTAATGGTGATCAGCCGATCAAAAATTTATTCTGAAGCGCGAAATCAATGTGTATCAGTATGTTCCATAAGACATAGAAAAATAACTATATTTCTTACATTTCTAATTATTTTAATATCTTGAATACAATCTGATAGTTTCGGACAGCAGACCCTTTCACAGTTCTAACCTTTGAATTGCTTTTGGGAAGAAAAAAAAGGAAACGGAGAAACATCGCGGAGATTTTCTTTCTAATTACTCGCTCGCGCGTATAATACACATGTAATACAACACAATGTGTCTTTATTACAGAAATCTTGTAAATCACGTCTCGTTCCCGTCGCAACGTTTCATCGAACGACATTATCCGCGTGAGGAGAAAGACGGTTCGAACGCGGGCGTTCCATTCCGAGCGCGATGTAAGAACGTCCCTGAAAGGGATGGCTTGTGAAAAAAAGTAGCGGGGAACGCGAGGGGGAGGGGGAGGGGGAGGGGGAGGGGGGACGGGAAAAAAAGTGGACGGGAAAAAGGGAGAGAAAGGAGGGGACGTAGGTCGGGGGGGAAGGGAGGGGGGGAGGGGGTGGACCGACGGA